TTTGGGAAGAAAGTAGGGCGATGGGGATGCTGCCATATCCTTGGTTTCTCCGTATTCTCACTCACTTATCTTTTACATCTTGCACACAAGACGTCTTCATCCTTTTTTGGCTCCTTCCCTTTAATACGCTCAAAGATACTGGGATGTGGTCCAGGGTCTTCTCCTCCATCATCTATAACTAATTTGAATTTTGACAACTTGTTTTTGAAACCAGACGTCACCATATTCACTCCAAGTGGCTGTGGAAAATGATTTTTATCCACTGCCATCTTCTTCTTATCATCGAACGTAATTCGTCCTGATTCAATGGCATCCTATAATACATGGCGAATAACCAAGCAATTGTTAGTCAAATGTGACCATGTATTATGCCACTTACAATATTTTTTACCTTTAATTTGTTCAGGGTTTGGCAATTTATGCTTATCGCTCAGCTTTATCTGCTTATTCTTATATAATTTATCAAATATAAGGTCAGTTTTGGTTACATCGAACGAGAACGTTCTAGCTTTTACGTTTTCATCTTTCATAGGCTCATCATTGCCCGATGGTCTAGGCTTAGCCATTATAGGACAAGTATACGTGTCTCTTTTGACTAATTCAGCCAAACACATTTCGGTATGATTGTATGACTCGTGAGTTCTCCAAACAGTGCACGCATAGTTCGAGGACTCAACTCTGCCATTGATTCGTAACGACTGTTACTGCTCTGATTTTGTCCATCTGTTCGTGGAGAGCTATGCTGCTCCTCATATCGCTCGATCACAAACTGGACTCCTCCCTGACTTGCTGCTTCCTTATCGGATCTTTGAGGCATATTATTTCACCTTTTGTATCTTCAACACCAAACACCACTGTCCCACTCGGCATGCCAAATTGTTTCGTGCGAGTTAGTCGCTAACAATTAAAAAGGGATCAGACGATTGTGTAAGGGACAAACCTCTTGAGACAAAGTCTCAAAAATGGGTGTTTTTATTGACGATGACTTTACAATTGGAAAATAAAAACAGAATGCCTCCTAGGGGCGCAAGCACACGAATTACTGAAAAAAAAGTGTTTAAATCTAAACTAAGAGATTTAAAGTTACATATTCTCTGTTTGAGAGTGTTTGATTCGAGGTCTTTTGCTCTATGTCTTTTCTTCCTTTTATACTCCCTGGATGATATATTCGTGATCAACCGCTTAAAAACTACTTGATCGCTCTATAACTGTCTACTTTCCTCGTAGTAGCCAACTTGTCATGGAACTGCCTTCTCTAACTGCTGCCATTACTTTTTGTCGTTCAACCGTTTTCAATTGAATTCCTTGAATCGTGGAACGTGATAGGACTACCCATAACTGCTTCATTAACTGCACTTTTGGGTAACCATAACATCTTATGTTTACTAAGATGTTGGGCGACTCGAATGTTTGGACGAGAGCAGGGTCACAGCTCTGGGCGACTGCATGGCAATTCATTCGCTCAAATCTTGGGCGACTTGAAACCTTGGGCGATGGTATTACCGCGTTCATGGGCTTCCCTATTTAGGCCTTTATCCTGCATTGCCTGATTGGGTCGTTATTTGGGTTATTTGATTTTGGGGATCTTCCAATTGAACTTCATTCATTGGACTATTCGATTTGGGCTGAACTTTTTGTGTGTCAACACCCTGGAATGTCATGAAAACAAGAACCAGAACTGTGGTGAGATTTCAAAACTTCATCCACTTTGTCCTCTCAAATGAATATGTATTTTTGCATTATCCTTGATAGAGCTGTGTATATTAATGGATTTGGTAGTTTGTTGAAATTATTTTGGTTTACAGTTGCATTCTTTTCAGTAATATTATATAGACGAATAGGACGTGATTCCACAGTTGCTGTCTTTACTTTTTGGCTGAAACTTGGAAGTGAAGGAAGGCAAAAAATAAAAAAATAAAAAAATTACAGGATGATGATTGTAAAGACAAGATTTCTTTTTATATAAATCGCTTTATATTTATGACCATTTTATTGAAAGCAATATTCTTAAAAGAGTATTTTCTGTGGAGAGGATTGACTTGTTTCAAATTGTTAATATGCAACCGTAATTTTATCTTTTTGGATAGTTATATTTACACCACATTATTTAATAGTTACATTATATGTCCCTAATCTTTAGTCAATATCATATCCTTAACTAATTTTCATCGCATTCTTATTATTAAAATTTTATTAATTTGTACATCATGTGCTTGGTGAAGGTTTTCATCTAAAAATTGTGTTAACGAGCTTTAAGATGAAAAACAAATTTTAGTTGCAAATTTTTATTCGTTGTCTTTCTTTGTTTATTTAAAAATACGAAGAGTGAATAAGTCTTTTGACTCATTATTAATGAAATTTTTGGATGGAAACGTCATTTTGAATAAGATGTATTAATTAATGGTATGTTTATAATAAGCATGCGAAGAAAAAAATTAAATGCAAATGTGATGATGAATAAATGTTGTGGATTTTTCATATAATTAAAATGTGGTGTACTTATATAAAAAATTTGGCATTAATTTAGCCTCCTTTATTTTTTATTTTTTTAATGATTTTTCATAATATGTGACTTGACGTGCACTGCAAATAGACTGAAATTTTTCCTTTTCTTTATCCCCCCTAAAGCGGTTAAATCTTCAATGGGGTGGGCGCATCACGTACTGAAATTTTTCCTTTTCTTTATCCCCTTAAAGCGGTTAAATCTACAATAGGGCAGGCGCACCATCAGACGCCACCTCGATGAGTGGCCCACACATCTCGAGAGTGTGTGGTAGTCACCAGCCGAGGTGGCACACCCGGGTGGCACACGTGGTGCGACTACTCCATCGAAGTTATTATCAAAATTGGGATTTGGGTATCCACACGCAGGCTAGTGCCATTCGAGTTTGATTAAAACTATTTACATCAACAATAATGGAATCACTTAGCCATATTTGATTTTGATAAAAATCAAAGTTGTATTAGATTTTGATACTGAAAAATTAATAAATTTGTGAATTTCATTAATTATGTGATTGAAAATAAATTTTTAAAAAATGAAAGTTTCAGAAAAGTACATTTACTACTAATATATAACATTTATTTGATGAGTCGATTGATTTTTAAACTAATTAGCTCCAAAAAATCATACAATTATTAAATTTAGAGAATTCTCACCTATAATTTTTGAATAAAAATACATGCTACTTCAATCATAAATTCAATCCAACAACGATATCTGGTAAAATTTAAAAGCACATAAAAAATAAAAAACGACAAATATTTCATGTGCTACAGTGCTAGATAACCCTTGTGGGTTCTTAAAACTAACTGTAATGACAATATCAATTGGGGACTAAGTCATTTGCTTTCCATTTATTAGCAAATTAATCTGTTAGTAATCTAAAAATATTACACCATTATTTTTTATCCCCAAAAAAATAATAATAATAATAAAATAAAATAAAATGTAAATGTAAATGTAAATCCCAGATCAAGAAAATTAAAATTATTTAAATGTATTTAGCTATTACTGTTATCTGACGGTCAATTAAAATAATGAACTTGTTAGGTACCAATCACATGATGACTGATGTCTAGCTCATGACAAACAGACATAATGACAACGTATGATAATAGTAAATCATGAGGAGAATCATTAATAATTGAATTAGGTATATGTCATTTATTTAACCCCTCTAATAATTTATTGTCTCTTTAAATGAGTTG